GAGCTTTCAAGACGGAAAAGGTGGAGAGATTTAAATGAAATAAAAAATTGTTACATTTTAACAGGTTGGACTGATTTGGCTTCAGATGGAAGAATGTGTAGTAAAAACAACTTTTTATGTTTTAGAACAGGTTGGTAATTTAAGGCCGAAATTGAAAAACACGCAGAAGCAAGGACGACAGCCAAAGACTTGTACAATCTCATACTCCAGAAACCTTAACTCTCCTGCTCATATGGTAATACACGCAGATTATAACATGTTCACTGGCAGAGAAAGGTGTCATTAACTATGAGATATGGAGGGTATTTATCTCAAGATTATTAACACGGGTCTGTTCATGATATAACTAAACCCTGCTCATTATATTTTTACTCATCTTAATGAAAACTGAATATTTGCACTTGAGTTCCTGAAAAGCTACCTAAAATGCAATTACATTTCATGGTTAATTAAGGATTTTTGCAGGTTTGAAATTTTGCTCGTATGAGAAGCCGTAATTCATTTTGAATCCAGGAAAATGAGATTTTTTGTGAGGAAAAAAGTGACATGAAAGCCTGGCTTTAGTTTGTCATGATTGAAGGTCAGAGCAGATCCACAGTGTTGGTAATTGGCTGAGATGGAGGTGGATCACATTGGTATATTCAGGCATGATTGATTCCGGAGACTTTATTATACAGGTTCGGTGTCAGGGCAACTCGGGGGGAATTTTATGGTCACATGGTGAATATTTTGACACAAATCATTGGAGACTAGGCCATGATTAATCAAATGAATGACTCAATCAGCAGAACTAGTCAACCTATGCTTGGGTTAAGACCAGGCAAGGAGATCCACACTATAACATCAAGGCAAATTAATTTGGTCTTTAAGACTGACATTTTGGGAGGGAGACTGCTTTGTTTTTGATTGGATTTATTGATTAACATTAATGGAATAGATGTATGCTGTCACAAAAAAATCAAAGTCTACCAATTGTGCAATCCATCTGTCTAGCAGAGTGGGATTGATTCAGTCTGGGGAAGAGATGGTATATGTCTCACATATTTAGTCTCCAAGCTTTTAATTTCCACTGCTGGTATGTGGGAGTATGAATTTTCCAAATAAATTAAATCCCCTGAATCTTTAAAACTGTCAACAGCACATTTGACATTTCTTCACAAGAAATACAAATATGTAAGCAACAAAATGTAATATATGTTATGATCAGACATTTCTGTTAAGACATATTACAAGGTTGGCTGAAAAGCCTTAAACTGAACTATGAAGTAACATGTGTTTTGTTTGTGATTACCTTTTCGCAGTTAAGTACAGATTCAAGTAATATTGAGGATTGTGTCCCATTTGGGATTCAGACCCGCATTGAAGGAGCAGAATCCCAAACATGTAACCATTTAACACATGTTACCATTTAACACTTTGTAAAAGGTGCTGTGTTTTCTGTACTTTCCCTGATTACAGTCTGCCTTTGAACCAAATAAACAACTACACAGCATAATTCTGCTGGTACCAGAGACTAGGTATTCTCTAGTCAAGGTTCTGTCACCAAGGATCTCCAGCTCAGACAATTTCCCTAACATCACACTTTTGGGTATAATACTTCTAATCCATTGCCACTATTAACAGGTGGGCAGTGTTAAGATTACAGAAGGGCTTCAAAGTTGATTCAAGATCAGGAAGACCTTCAGCTGCCACCACTAAGGAAAATGTTGATGAAATACCTGATTTGATTATGGCTGATTGACGACTCACTGCATGTGACATGCTGTCCACACAGAAGGCAACTGTCACACAAGACTTAAGCACATTCTGAGGAATGAACTGAACATGACAAAGGTTTCAGCATGCCTGGTTCCATGGCTTCCATGTTGATTAGAAAGCGGCCAGAACATCTTTCAAACCATTTTGTATTGGCCTTCCTAACCAGAAAACTATTCAGTTCTAAGTCCTGATTCATTAAAATTGAAATACATGAAAACTGTACAATCATGAGACATCTGTTAAATCATTGTTCATTTTGCTGACTGAAACCAATTATAACCAAATGATGGAAAACGGTGGCTGAGTGGGTTAGATGGCTGACTTCTGTGCTGGTGATCAGTTGCCTGACACTGAGGGTGGGTTCAAATCCCAGATGGGACTCAACCAAACAAAAGTACTAGAATCTGTACTTTACTAAGAAAGTGTAAGCCCAAATATAACAAATGTAACCCTGGCTGGCATATTAAGGGAAAAAACAGGATTCTTTGGCTTGGAGTATATGTATATATGTTTCAAGGACAGCAGCCACAGACACATACATGCATGACACTGTATGTAAGTGCAGTATTCTTCAATACAATGTTTAGCTCCATGTGACCTCCCCTCAAGGTTCAGGAAATATCCACAGCTGGAACATGATCAGCAGACCTTCGCATGCATCTCTGAACCTGTTGCACCAAGCAATCCAAGACTATTGAAAGCCTAAGTTAAAGTATGGGAGTCACCTTAGTGCTAAGATATCTTATTGCAATGGATCCCAGCACAGCAGATGATGGCATTATAGCAATTGGGTTGACCTTGCCCTATCAACATCCGAGAGATTCGTACCAGAGCTGACTTATATACAGAGGAAATATCACTTGACCCTTTTCATTTTTTGAAACTAAAACCTACATTATGGCGACAGCCCGAGGATGATAGGCGCCAAGTGGTTAACCCACTGACACTTTCCTAGAATGTGTGTAATAATCAACCATATAAGTACCAACTGATGGACACATCAAAATCACCATCCAGGGATGTTACATTTATGATTAGGCCAAGCACACAAGTGACATTAATCATGCTAATAGCACGGTTTCTATCTGGTCCGAGGAGTTATTAACACTTTGACTATCCAGAAAATCAATGGTTGGTCTGAGTAAGTGGAGCCTGGTGAGAGATGCCACAACTAACCCTGTAATGGCCCTCAAGGTGCGGCACAGGAGGCGCTAAATGTCACAAGACTCTTTCTTCACTTCCCGATGCGAGACCCCTACTACCATCTCCCCCATATACAAAAATTCATTACATCTGTCCTTTCAGTCAAGTGTTAGTAATCACTGACCGAGTCTGGCATATTCTATTATCATTATTTTCAGTCATGTGGCATAGAAACCATTCCTTGTAGATTAAAGTCAGTCCGAAGTTGTTCTTTGCAATCATTCTCACACACATGTCCCCTGTGAGAGAGCCTATTAAGCCATTTGGACAAAACAGAATTTGTCTTGATGGTTTTCACTGTCAGATTGGGTAAAATGAGATATATCTCTGCCTTTATCTTTATGAGAGTGTTTAGTTATTAATTGTTGGGTTAAGGCAGGTTTCAGAAAAAAAATGATATTGTTTTATAGCTCATAATCTCAGTCTGGTCCATGAAAACAATAGTCAAGAATTGGTAGCCAAGCTAAATCAACTTCTAGTGCATACAAGTTTTACTTTGTTGATCATTATAACAAACTTTATGATTTCTTATGAATGCAATGTATAATTTTTATGATGCTACAACTAAACCTGTCATATCTTTGGAATACATCATATAATAAAATGGTGTTCAAGAACGCCAGATTTGTTTTTTAGACAAAAATAATTCTGTCTTGACATGACAGAATAAACTTGTTACATGAAACAATAAGGTGATCTTTACCTTATGTTTAGTAGTATCGTATTATCAGGAAGACATATTGCTTTCAAGAAATATTTGGATGATGAACAGTGTGTGGGCAGACAGCCCAAGGTGATGGTGAGTCAGACCATTTTGTGGAATCCTATGATGTGCGGACAGACAAGGGTCATTATTTGGTATCCGCCTCCATGGTCTAGTGGTAAGAGAAATGGGCTGTCATGTAAATGTTTGGACCGGGCACTAATAAAGATTACTTGAAGATTGGTCTCGAAGTTGATCAGCCTGGAGTGCTTAATGCGGAGAATACAGTATATCACAATGTGTCACCATAATGTGGAAGAAATGTCCAGTGTGATGCACTTTGTAGACGGTTACCACATTGGTGAAACCCACAAGATTTAGAGCCAGTGAGGTTTAATGGATAGAGTATCTGCCTGGAGTAGATGGCCAATAGTTTGACTACTTGTTGTTGCCAAGCCTGGTGCTCAGCTTTAAGGATTAAAACAAGCACTGGTTGACTTGTAGTCCATATACTATGTGGGTGTTGATATCAAACTGTGGCATGATATCACAAACTGCTTGTGAAATAAGATATCTGTTCCCCTGAGGGATTCATTCTACAGGAAGTAATATCATAGTTAAAAACTTCAAGCAGAGCCTTTCCCAGTTATATTATTTCCTCGGGCAGTTTCTGAAATATTTTCTCATGTAATTATTCTTTCTTCTGGAAACTATTTAAGTTAGAAAGATTAATTGTTCATACTTTCACTATAAACTTGGCACGCATGTATGAATGTCATTATGTAAGTGCTAAAATCTTGATCGTGCCATTAAATCCAATATCACCCCATAAGTCACCATATTAGGGCAAACTGGTACTTTAACCCTTGGTCAGCAGAAACCTCTCCAGCTGCACAGCAAACTACAGATTTTTAAGGGCACTATATCACACCAACCTTCTCTAGAAATAACTACCGGAAATGCATTTCTCTCAATAATACTAACTATCAGCCCTCAGGGAAGTTACCACATAATTTATTCAAAACAAATTACTTCTTTAGACTACAATATTAAATTAAAAAGTTCGAATGAATTTAAGCAATGTTGCATTAAATCAACTGTTGTGCCCTCTCCTGGCCAAACTATATTTCAAGCGAACCCTATAGAGTTATGTCCCCTGGAGTGCTCTTTACAAATATACTATGCACAACTTGTGATTGAAACCAGTTCGGCAAACACCGATGTTTTTGATGTATGGAACAAATTGTTTACATTCCATATATGGCAAGTGTTCTCTGTTTGGAAGCTGTTCGCCTCGAAGTTCAATTATCAATCAATTACAGGCAAGTCGTATGAGATAATAAGTCTTTCATTGCATCACTAGGAAGCTAAAGTGAGTGCCTATGCCCCAATAGATATAATATAGGCCTAAATATTGTCGAATATGTGTGACATTGTGCCTTTAAGCTGCTCGGCCACCATCAGCACCATGTTATTGCACTGTCAGTTGCACCAAGAAATTGTGGATGATGTCAACCGTGATACATATACCTAATATGTTCCTGTTTTTATTACAGATTTGCTGTGGTCCTCCTGTGTCTCGTCCTCAGTGTTCTAGCTTCCATCAAAGACTTTGAAACCATTCTCAGTCCCATCTGTGAATATATGGTGAGTCTCTTCAGGTGTCACTGTAACACTGTAACATGTGTTTTGTATTCCTTTGTTATGAACAATGTACCTAATGTAGTATTGATTTCTGTCATAATATTCAGTAATGACATTATTAATGGAAACGAGTTCTTACATGTCATTAGTAGATAGAGGAGATTTAATTAACAGATAAATATTTAAAAATATATGCCATATGGAATTTATGATATTAACATTAAAAATGTTAATGCATATGATAATTAATGTGTAATGTCATATGGTTCAATAGTTGGAGAGAAAACAGCAACATAGGTCAGTATGGAGTTTGCCTTGGTGTTTTATAACATTACATGTAAAATAACTATGTTGACAAGAATATGCTAGGTCATCACACCAAGGAGGGTTGGTGATACCACAGAGCATTCAGCATAAGCTAAGCTGGTCTGTCGTACAGACCCTGAAGTAAATATATCCAAGAAAGCCCATGCAAGTCTAGAAAATGTGGCAAGTCTAGATTTCCTCAGCTGAAAATGAAAAAAGTCTCAGGGCTCCTTTTCATTATATTTTTTTTTTTTACTATGAACTTTTTTTAGTAAAGTATGTTCATTTCAGAGACTAGTTGTTAGTCTAATGCTAAGCTAGTCACTCTCTGTGTCCCTGTCTCAACATTAGATCATTAACATGAATAAAAGCTGACCTTTAATAACCATAAGCATGCTGTGTATCAGAGTCCAATGTGTGATTCTGGCATGTGTTTATAAGTGTCAAATAGTGATGATACATTCCTAAAAACACAATAGCAGTAAAGGTTAAACAAACTTCACTGATATGGTCAGAAAAGTGGGGTTTCTACAGGGATTAGCATCTCCAGCATAATCAATTGCCATTAAGTTATAAAGAAGTATTTTTAATTGTTGAGATGACATAGCTCTTTCAAAATATGTCTTGTTTTGGATAATAGGTCTTGGTTTGGATCTAATGGTACCAGTACCATACTTTAAATCTGGAGAGCTTGATCCCCAGGCTGAAAAGATTCCATCCTGGCTGAATTTACTTTGAATGTCACAAGTTACAATGTTGTGAATGAAAGTCAGCATACAATCAATTTCCTTGCATCTTGATGCTTTCTTCAACCAGCTGCAGTTGTCCATGTTGTCATCAGCTTCTTCAGTTTCAACATTGTGCAGGTGTGCCAATCAGAGGTCAAAATAGGGTTTCTGCCTTCTTCAAGTGTTGCATGCCATCACAACTCACAAAAAGAGTGATTTAAGAGACAAACAGTATAGGTGATGAATCTTTGTTGATGCATTGTCTGACAGAAACGACTCAAGGTGATTGGTCTGGGTCCTCTTCATCTTCGATGGGTTTATGTTGTCGTCACCTCGTGGGAACCTCAAAGTACATTCCCCTAGTGTCTACTTCCTGCAACAGTGAAACAATGCCTCTCTGAATCGTTTTCTCCATAGCTTCTTTCATCTCTGGTGTGGAATACTGAAGATGAGGAAATAAGTCTTCTTGCTAACTAGTGTCGGCAGTTGACAAGATCTGTAAGCTGAGGAGGGTAAATGACAAATGACTGGCTCGGGATCATAGTGCTGACTGACTGTGGTGCAAGATCTGCAGCTTCCATCTTCACTTCTCTGAACTTCATAGTGCACAGGCCATTGTAAAATTCCTGTATGTTGTGAAATAATGGACTATCAGCCTTTGATGCTGTCTAATCTAATTGCAGCTCTGGATTAGTTTGGGACCAGGGTGAATAGAAAGCCACACTCTCCACTAGATCATATTTGATGTGGACAAAAATCACCATTGATGTTGCATGTTACAACAGACGTCTACACAGTAATATAGAACAGTGCAGAGTTGTATGTACAGGGTTCGAAATACCCCATATATTAGGGTGCCATGGCACGGTAAATATTGAAATGGCACGGATAAAAATGTTCTCGGTGCCCTTATGGCACTCCTAATTATTTTAGAGACATAACTCACCTCTAGTCATTTAATCCCCAAACGAAACACTAAGCAAATGACAAACATGCAAAAACATTTATTGACTTTTACGCCCAGGAAATCACTGGAATTATGATGGATGATATAGAGAAATCTGGTTGTTGTTATTTCTCATTTAGAGTGATGGGGGTACTAATAGTTCAGTTGGAAATTGTGTATGTAAGATATGTTGAACAGGATAACCTCTCACACAATTCTTAGCTATTAAAGGTGTTGGGAAAGCAGAACAAATGAAAGATAAGAAAGCCATCTTAAACAGAAGACATGTCAGTGATAACAGAAAACTGGTTACATTTGTTGTTTTCTGACAATACATTTCAAATGATCATCATCCTTGCTACAGTCATTTATTCTAAAAACATCTGGGCACACTTGATTTCTGAAAGGCACACCTAGAATATTTACCTGGTGCCCTAAGGCACACTTAGAAAAAAGAGAATATTTCTATCCCTGAATGTATATGAATATCTAAAACATCCCTCTGATTAGCAACAATGTGCCTGGGCCCAGATGCACAAAGCAATCTTAGTGCTAAAACTATTGTAAGCTTATGTTAAAGTATTGGAGTTATGGTCATCTTAGTTCTGAGACTGTATGACGTAACATATGTCATATTTGGGATTACACTTTCTTAGTTAAGTACAGATTCTTGTGCTTATGTTGTGTTGAGTCCCATCCGGGATTCGAACCCGCACCCTCAGGAAGTGTAATCCCAAATATGATAAGAAAGTGTAATCCCAAATATGACATATGTTACATTTGACCACTTCCTAAATAGCATTGTGTAATCAAAGCTTTTGGCTGTAGGAACCTTGCCAATTTACACTTATCACAGGGGTACACAACCAGTTGTTCGACTTCTGTTTTTGTGCACTCAGCCGTGGTGGCTGAGTGGGTTAGGCGGCTGACTTTGAGTGCTGGCGATTAGGTGCCTGACTCGGAGGGTGTGGGTTTGAATCCCGGATGGGACTCGACCCAACAAAAAAACAAGAATGTGTACTTTACTGAGAAAGTTTAATCCCAAATAGAACATATGTTACATTTGACCACTTTCTAAATGGCATTGTCTAATCATGTATTACGTAAGTCTATATTAAATTACAGGAGTTGTGAATATCTTAGCACTAAGACCATTGTGAGCCTATGTTAAAGTACTGGTAAGTTAGTTACGCTCACCTTCGTGTGCTCTGTGCACATCAGAGCACCTAGCCTGATTCCAGCTGGGATAAGGAGCGGTGTGCATGCCCATGTCACATTATAGACAAATGTTTACATTGCCAAGGTCACACGAATCAAGATTTTCTCATTACCACTGAAAATATGATAACATAGTTGTGACACTTGTGTAGGTTATCGTTAACAGTTAACGTAAAAGCCAAACACTTTAAGCTGATGAATAAATAAAGCCAGTACATGTAGGGATAATCTTCTGGAAGTATACTTCCCATCAATAGTTTAAACTCACTTAAAATACTCACTATATGTTATGTATATACATATGGTTACATCGGAGATTGATTTCTCCACTAACTTGGGGGAACCAACTGCAAACCTTATCCAGATGAATTGCAGGAGGATCATGCATCAAATTGCCGAAAGCATGTGCAAATATCCTGTATGTGAACAGCTACATTTTGGTGTAAAGTTTTGTTAAGAAATCGCCAATTTTTACTGATTTTTATCATTTATTGAACTTAAGACAATAATATTTTCAACGTTATGAATTTGTTTTACAATACATCAGTTCATGTGTATACAGTACCTTTAAACAGCATGGAATATTTTGCAAAATTTACTTTAGAACATTTGCCTGAAGTAAGTGGTTACACTTACACTAGTGTAAACTTTTGATGGGAAGTATTATACAGTGGGCGGGGAAGGGATACACAATCTTTTAGTGACCTCCTGGTATCAGTGATTCATTAAAACAATGGTCCGCAGCATACAAACAGCTCTCAGAGACTTCTTGTGATAATCGAAATGGTTTTGTCACTTCTGTTTATCTATCATCCGAAAAATCCATTATTCACCATGCAGTCATCACATACATCATCCATCCATCCATCACATGAAAATAAACATCATATCAAAATGTATTAAAAATTTATAGAATCCATAGCTCAACATAAAATTGGGCAGGTCGATGTGGATGGAAAACAAAAAGTGATTGTCAGTTTGGTTTCAACATATTTTTATTCATGAAAATGAATTGGATTGGTGAACAAGCTTTACAGCTTATGTTAACACCGCTCCTGTACAACATATAATACAAAATGAAACGTCATCGATACTGACTACTGTATAAAAAATATATGTATACACATTACATCAAATACAAAAACAACTATTCTCTAAGTAAACATAGATAGAGAGTTGAGGTTTTGTGTGTCTAAAAAGCTATTTGTAAAAGTATAAATCATTTAGTCAGTTTGGATTTCTACTACTCTAATGAAACCCATGATCAGAAGTATCAAAGTTATGACAAGCCACAAGTCCCTGGCATACCTATTCTTCACAAGAAATAATGTGTCCATTTATACAGCGCCAAACTCCACACTAGGTATGCTCATAGCGCTCGACGCTGCTTAACTTCACCGATTTGTGACCTGAGCTTTGAGCGCAGGACCATGCGCCACCACGAAGTTGTGGTGCTTCAGATGACTTGGTAACCTGTGCCACAGATTTGTCATGTAAATATACGTCAGTTAGACCTCACAATCTATCCATCATGTCATCAATCATTTCCCCGTATGGTTTATCCATACCTCACAATGCATTCAACATATGAACTATCCATACCTCACAATGCATTCAACATATGAACTATCCATACCTCACAATGCATTCAACATATGAACTATCCATACCTAAGTGTGCATTCAACATATGAACTATCTATATCTCACTATGCATTCAACATATGAACTATCTATATCTCACTATGCATTCATATCTCACATATGAATATCTCACTATGCATTCAACATATGAACTATCCATAC